AATTTGTCACATTGCCTCTTTAAAGCTGGTTTCAGCTCATTGGTTAGCTACCCACTCCTAAGCTTTTCAACTTTCCTCTACAGTAGGTGTTCACGAAAAAACTAGATCCCCAAATAACACAAAAATGCAATGACCCCTGGCCCATAGAAAAGAATACTTGGTAACACTTTATAATAACTACATCTTATTTAGCCTTAATTACACATGTTAAGTATGAATAAGCCATAAATAAACAGCTTTTACATGAAACTAGTCATTAGAAGTTAAGCATTAATTAATGTGTTTGTCAGTTGCTCTAAAGTACTTTGTTAATGGTTTGTTACATATGAATAAGAAATGAGAAAACAGCTTTTACAATGGACTAATCATTAAAAACAAAGCATTAATTAATGCATTGGTTAATTGTTTATTAAGTAAGAGTCATTGTTAATTAATTATTTGTTAGTAGTTACTTACATGTTTGTTCATGTGTAATTAAGGCTAAATAAGATGTAGTTATTATAAAGTGCTACAGAATACTTCCTCTTGCAGTTACTCCCATTCCGGTGTGTGGTGTAGCACTGTTAAAGCCTAATTTATATGGCAAATGGCCTGTGTTTGATACAGCGCTTTCTAGAGTTATGAACCCCCCAAGGTGCTTTGCAAAACAGTCATTCACACACACACACACACATTCACACCCTGGTGGTGATGAGCAACATTGTACAGCTGCCCTGGGGCACACTTGTACTTCTAATAAAGAGAGAGTGGAAGATGTTTAGCCACAGACACAGAAAAAGATCGAAGAACATCCCGCAGAAGAAGTCTGAAAATGTCAACGTTTATTCACCTGCAGAATTACAGGAAGCGTTGGTTTAGAGGCGCCGAAAAATGAGGGAAACATTTGTCCATGTTAAAAATTCTCTGAAACACATAAACACAACATGAAGAAAAGACTGTTAACCAGATATGTGACTGTAATCGGGGCAGGATACCCGAGAAAAGCACTGCGCCCTCTGCTGTCCTGGTGGGGTATTGCTTTGCAACGTTCCCCAGGTGATGGAGACATCTGAAGGGAAAACATCTCTGCTAATGTACGTGAACTCCTGTAACCCAGGATGTCCATCCATCGTCTGTGAGGTCTTGGATGAGTCGTGGTCAGCTGTTTTGTTATAACGAGCTAGCATGAGTCAGTTGCTGGGTTAATACTGAAAGCCAATATTGAGAGTAGCTGGTGCTTGAATGCCGTCGTCATCTTCTTTGCCCTCTTTAGCTTTTGAAATGTTTATTTTCTCTCACCAAAGGGGCAAGCATTTTCAAGCATTAAGAATTTATTTGCAGTCTGGACTTGGAGGGGTCAAAATCTCCTGCTCTGACTGTAGCTGTGATGAGGCCTACAGCAAGGACTGGGCTGCCTCTGAGTGCTGTGGGAGTTTGAAGGGGCCCACAGCCCCTTATAACAACCAGCACTGATAGAACTGAATACGATGAGAAATATTCTTGACTGTCCTTCAGTGGGAACATTCAAGTGCACCAGAAGCAAGTCACGGGTAAATGTGAGCACGCATAATCATACAAAGGCAAATATATATATATATATATATATATATATATATATATATATATATATATATATATACACATATACATATATATATAAGAGATTTGTCAATTAAAAAATAGACTAGATAGAAAAAACGCTAAAAACAGCAGAGTTTTAAAGAGTTTGTTGGGAGCGGTGATAGTTCTACAGTTTTGACATAATTTTGTATGAAGGACGCAACCTGATAGATGATTTTAATTTGTTATTTAACCCCTCAAACTAAATAACCGGATATTTTCTGCTGCAGAAACTCACCCCAACAACATTGTATTACTGAAGCCATTTGAGACAACAAGATAAAGAGCGTGCTCACAGATTGCACACAGTTTAAACTTGGCATGAGTTTGACAACAGCTGCAGTACACAAAGTATCTGATGACTTTGGGAGAAACTTTGACTCAAAACGTGCCTTCTCGGCTTCGGCGCAAAGATGTACAATTTAAAACCGAGCCCCGGGGAGTGTCCCTGAGCTGTGCTGTCATTGGTTCTGACAGGGCAGCCAAACTCTGTTCATCACATGATTCACACTGACCCCAAAATGCATTTTCCCCCCAATGCACACTGGAAACTTTTCTCCGAGTGTCACAGACGCTGTGAAATGCTGCTCCGTATTATCCGTGTGTGACCCATTTGCTCCAGTTACATTTGGAGAGTCTAGAAAGGCTGTGTGAATATTTTATTCAGTCTCATTCAAGTGTGCTCAGTCTGCTGCAGTCTAGGACACCGCGGGCGCTTTATGGACTGAACGGCACAAAGGTGTGATCTCATGGAGGAACTTCTTTTATTTGTCCCTGTTCCACTGAACTTCTTTCATTAAAAAAACTGCAGCTTCATTTTCTAATCGTTTGTGTTGGTAAATGGCGATGTGTATTTAGAAGGCAATTGCCATGCAATGAGGATTTATCAAAGGGAGTTTTTGGCCATTTTGAAGTTCCTGTGTAAATGTTATAAATAATTACTGCCTCACCGCCTCTACACAGCCTTCTGAAGGGCGGGTTTTAGGATGAAGCGAGGTTTTGTCCTCCGTGAGCTAACGGCTTATCAGAGTGCAACCCAAACCAAAGGGCATTGCTGCCGTCATAAAACAAATTCAGTCTTCTAGCCCTTTGTGCATATTATGCAAACCTTCGATTTTGTATTACATGATTTTTTACACCAAATTTTGTTATAAAAGTAAAAACCCACAACTGCTACATGAACCACTTGTTGTGGATCCAGAGGTCAAAACCTACAACCATTTCTGAAAGCAGACATGTTAACCCTTTGATGCATAATGGTCACTACAGTAGACAGGTACTCAAAATTGTTATTTCTTTATTTTTGCTATTAAGCACAGCTGTTGAAGACTTTATTGCATGTGAGCCCCTCCATTTGGACTTCAGTAAGTCAAGCCAACATATTTCATGTTCAGAATGCACGCTGTCCACTGAGATGGACATGTAATAAAGTATTTGTAAATTAAGAAAATGGTACAAAAAATATTTGTTGAAATTTGTTTCATTCACACCTAAAGATGAATAAAAAAAATGTTTAAAAAATCATGGTTGAAGATTTCATAATTCATGCATCAGAGGGTTAAGCCAAACTCACATTTGCATCCTTTTGTGTTTCCATGTGGATCTACTGCCTCTTTAAACCCTCCAAATAAGGGAAAAAACCCATCCATTCGTTTTCTGTTGGTTTTAGGAATTATGTGCCTAACACAAGCAGTTTCAAAAAGCCCTGTGTTGTGATGTCACAAATGGGAAAATTTGCATAGAACCACCTCTGACATCTCCAGCAGCTCTACCCTGAGCCACTCCCAGATATCGCTGAGCTAATAGCAGCCAAAGCAGGGAATGGTTGGGTGTGGTCAGCTCCAGCTTGTTTTCTTAAAGTGACAGAGCCCTGAAGGGACTCACTCTGGAAGGTACTGAAAATGTCAAGAAGAAAACCACTGAAACCCCTTCACGTGAGAGGAACATGATTTGTATTGACCATAGAACTATAATGATTGAAGAAAAATAAGTCATAAAATACCTGCTGAAATAAGCATGAAATAAAAAAAAACTTCTAAATTCAGTATTCAATATTTATAAAATATTGTGATATTTAAGAAGTCGGTTGTAGAACACTTAGATTTTGGCTGTGCTCAGACTAGCTGTTAGCTCTTCAATCCTGAGGAACAAAAACTTTCTCTCTGAACGCAGTCTGCTCAGGAAGCCATCTACCGCGGGTAAGGCAGTAATTATTTATACCTCTTACACAGAAACTCACTTCAAATGTCTGAAAGTCTTTCGGCTGCGTCGTGGACAGCACTGGGTTTTAACACCTCAACGAGCTGCGGAGAGTGGACCAACAGTCAAACATGTGAAAACACGCTGCAGCTTCCCTCACACAACATGGATGCGATGGAATATGATCTAAAAGAAATCCCACAATGATATCCGGAGGGGTTATCTTACAGGCTCTGGATTCAGACACGTCTGCTTTTGTTAAACGTGTGTATTTTACACCAGGATGCCCTGAAGGAGCGATGGCACATTTTAATGGTCCGATTAGTATTCGTCCTCATTCTGCTTTACTGTTTCCAGCTGTTCTGCTTTGTGACCCGGGACTGTCCGCTGGATGTTTACCCCAGGTTTCTGCCCTGATGGGGGGGGGGGGGGGGGGGTGCTGCTGGTCCTGCAGATCAAAACAGTCATTGAAAATGCATAAATCTGCTTAAAGCAATTGTGGGGGTTCATCCCGATTCCTCTGGTTTAAGTATAATTTAATGACTGCATGTGTGTCATTATGGTACTCCTGACTGCCCCTCTGCTGTAATGATGGAGGATCTGGATCAACCTTAATGCCTCAGACAGCGCAGCTTAATAATCAATGTTACAGGGACCATTTTGTTCCCCACTTCTTTTTTTTTTCTAGAAAAAGGGAGGGTGAGACCATCTGCTCCGTAGACCTAAAAGCAGCAGCATTTTGAATTATTCATTTCTCTGACTGTAACACATTGCTGGAGACATTTGGTCGTGCTCTAAGAGCTTACCTCAGGTCTCAAGGCAGCACGCCTTTCCCTCACAGCCAAGCAAAAATAGTAATGGATCTCAGGGGAGTGGGATATAGGAGTGGAGTTATCTATATCCTCCCGCCAAGCTCATGCTCTTTTCTTGGGTCTTCTCCTATTAAATTCTCTCAGCTCTACACTAAGTATCAACTCCATGTCTGCAACAGTCCTGACGGATGGACATTTACCATTTTCTAAACCATCTTTGAGATTGTTTCCTGTGTGCACGCTGGCTTCATGAAAATGCATCTTCTGCTTTTCGTTATGTGAACAAGACACGCGGACGAAATGTCAAATGTTTCTGCGAAGTTATCAAAGTATTTTGCTTAAATGTTTCCATGGTCTGCGGTTACATCTGCCCTCACCTCTGCCACTCAGGCTCTCGAGCTCGGTTTGAAGAAGGCGCTCCCCGGATAGTGGAAGACCCGTCAGATCTGATCGTCTCCAAGGGGGAACCTGCCACCCTCAACTGCAAGGCAGATGGCCGGCCCACTCCCACCATAGAGTGGTACAAGGATGGGGAGCGAGTGGAGACCGACAGGGACGACCCTCGTTCTCACCGGATGCTGCTGCCCAGCGGCTCCCTCTTCTTCCTACGTATCGTCCATGGGCGCCGAAGCAAACCAGATGAGGGCGTCTACACCTGTGTGGCCAGGAACTACCTGGGAGAGGCCGTCAGCCGGAATGCTTCACTGGAAGTGGCCAGTAAGTCTCTTTGATGTTGATGATTGCAGTGAGGGGTTTATTTTAGGAAAGGAACTGCTTTTTTTTAGCAGCATTCATTTTTATTCAGTAATAAGCAGCAGCCTGTGGATTTGTGCCTTATCTTAGACTCTAGAATGATAGTTTGGTCTTTTGTGTGTTTATCTGAATTCAAGCGAAGTCAACTGCATGTTTAGCGTTTGTTCTTTTTTTCCTGGTTCTTACTGGAAATAAAGGTGTAAATCCCCCTCTGTGGTGGAGATCCTTCCTGCCAACAGCCATTGTAATGCACAACAACTCTTTGACGACTCGGTTATTATTATTATTATTATTATGAGCTACTACAGCAATCAATTTCCCTCTGGGATTAATAAAGTATTTTTGAATTTGAATTGAATTGAATTGAGCTGAGAGTTAAGCAGAGGAGTTCAAGTATCTTGGTGTCTTGTTCACAAGTGATGGGAGGATGGAGAGAGAGATGGACGTACAGATAGGAGCTGTGTCTGCAGTAATGAGGGCACCGCTTCTGTCTGTCGTAGTAAAGATGGAGCTGAGCTCATGCATCAGTGGTTCGTCTTGTGGACATGAAACTTGGGCCGTAACTGAAAACACAAGATCCAGAATGAAATCAGTTTGACTGATCTAATTAGGATCCCTACTGGTCATCTCCTAGAGGTTTTCAGGACTTGTCCCACTGAGAGGAGACCCTCAAGCAGACCAAAAAAATCATCAGAGGGAGGAGATATCCTCTTTGGCCTCAGAAGGCCTTAGAATGCTCCAGGAGGAGATGGAGAGGGGTTGGTGGGGAGAGCGATGTTTGGGTTTCCCTCCTGGAACTGTTAGTTTCGAGATCCAAGCTTGGATGGATGGATGGATGGATGGATGGACGGACCATCAGTTGGATGGACTGACCATCGGGTTGGATAGACTATCAATTGGATGGGTGGATGGATGGATGGACAGATCATCGGTTGGTAGGATGAATGGATGGATGGCCCATCGGATGGATAGCTGGACCATTGGATGGATGGATGGATGGATGGATGGACCATTGGATGGATGGATGGATAGCTGGACCATTGGATGGATGGATGGATGGATGGATGGATGGATGGATGGATGGATGGATGGATGGATGGATAGCTGGACCATTGGATGGATGGATGGATGGATAGCTGGACCATTGGATGGATGGGCCATTGGTTGAATGGCCCATCAGATGGATGAATGGATCCAAATGAAGTTCTGCAGAAGTTATTTGTTTCGTTTGACTCAACCTTCAAGTTTGTTTCTCCATCAGAACACAATCAGCAGCACTTTTAAACCACGTCACATGTGCCCATCAGTTTTTGCACAGCTGATAAACAGTCTGATCCTCAACAATCCTCTGCTCCAGCTCCACCACAAAACATTATTCTCATGACTTTATTGTCATTGGACAGTAAAATTTTTAAATAAATATCAATAACTTCTTTGTTTTGTAATAAATTATCTTGCATCCAATACTAAAGACTTGAAACAATCACTGAGTGATGGTCATTAATAAGTTTTACACATTTTAATTATACATTTGTGTAATTGATGGTATTTTTGGCTTCTTCCTCCTATGAGAGCATTTACACTTTCATGTATTTAAGTTAGTTATAATTATATTAAAGCTCATGAAAGCATCACATTTTCATCTCAAGTAGGAAATATTTTATTGTTGAATTATTTTTATATCTATACATAGATGAAGTTTCATTAAATTATCATTCGATTTGACCTTTTTAGTTAAAAAATCAAAACATGTGATGCATTTATTATCTGTGTGTGACCCTCTTCACTAATATTAGAGGATAAATCTTATTTCTCTCCATCCAAACCTTCACACTCCTGCAGAAAACAGATATAATGATGTGCATGAAGTGATCATTCTCAGTTTCTTTTATTTATTTGTGACCAAAAGTCATCTCAGTAATGAGACACTTGAAGCAGCCATTTCACTAATTATCAAGTTATGCAGACAAAAGAAACAGTTGGAAATAAAAGCCTCCTTCAAAATAGCTCTGAACTCTGCAGCTGCTGGCTCTTTCCAGTCCTTGAACATCTGTCTTAATATCCAGATTCATGTTTTAATGTTTCATCTTCAGCTACTTCAACCAGGAAATATTGTTGATTTGTAAAAGTAAATAAATCCTGTCTGATTGGTTGTGTTGGACCAGTCTGGCCTCCCGTCCTGCCAGCTGTTGCAGCCCACATCTGCTTGTGAGGAGGACAGTGGGACACGGTGAGGTCTCACATGTCGGTGAAAGTGCCGCGGTCCTGCCTTCCTGCTAATCGTGCCAGCTCTGCTCAGCCGCGGGCTGAACCGCGCCACTCTTGGCACGAGGAAACGGATTAGTCAGTGAGTTGATTAGGGGAAGGAGCAAACAGATTAGCAAGGTCGAATTGTCCTCGTTAAAAACACAAAACAGCAATTTGAGTCCCAGCCTTATCTTCCACCACGCCGAGGCTTCCTCATTCGCACCGAGTGTGTGTTTATGTGTGTGTTTCCTTGTAAACGGCTGCTGCGTCCAAAAATAAGAAATGGCCTCCTCGGGTATAATATCTAATGGAGCTCGTGATATGATGCTCATGCTGTCCTGCAGCCTCTTTGGAATGGTTGATAATGAAATTTTACTTTTGTGTCCTGCTACAGATTACAGATTACAGATTACAGCACACTGATGCAAACAGAGGGATGAGTCACCTGCAGGCTAAGAGTGACTAACTGTATTAATAAGTGCCTGTTCTGTCCTAATCTCTCTGCCTGCAGCCATACGACATCGTCATGCTAAGACATCGCAGTGGTGGTCCTAAAACCTCCCTCCCCTCGGTGTGTGCTGACTGTGGGGGAAATAGTGACCCAATTAGGCTGTTGCAGAAAGCTGGGTGGGTGTGTGCAAGTCCAGATTTAAGCATGAGTGTGTGAGGTAAGGGTCTGAGTAACAACAGGTGGGAGGAGGAAGAGCTTTAAACTCCCACTGAGCAGTAATTAATACCGATGCATCTGTTGGGCCGTTCCAGCTCAGAGGAGGGACCAGGGGAACCCACTACAACCTGGTTTTAACAGCATGAGTAACTCCTTCCTACCAGCGAGTGGTGCATAATTCATTAGGCTGCATGACTAAGACTTTTTCACTGCCACACACCGTTGCACTCCCATTCTTTTGTTCTAATTATTGCAGAAAAGAGGGCTTATTCCACCGAACTGCGGGGTGTTTAGTGTTACTGCAGATTACAGAAGCCACATGTTGGGACGTTTTCTCCATGTTTCTCTGTGATCTGGGGCACACTTCTCTATTTTTACTGCAGAAACACTGGATATGTTAGCAAACCACCAAATAAAATCAATATAAATCCATGTTTCCATTGTTGTGTCCGCTGGAACAGAAATGTAGTTTCTGACTTGTATTCTAATAAAGATGTAACCCAGAAGCTAGAACCTTAATGAGGTATTAACTAATTGGCTTACTAATATGATCCATCCTCAATTTAGATAAAATATAAAATATAAATTAAGGAAATTAACAATACTAATTAATAGATATCTAATTAACTAATAGATAATTTCATAATGAATTATTGGAAGGGTGAATAACTAAAATAACGAGTTTAATATTAAACATCGGTTAAAACAAGAATCTTGAACATCCCTAACAGAAACAGAAGAGGAAAGCTGTATACTATTGGTCCAGGTGGGAATCTGAAATTTCATTGGCTGAGAGAAATAAGTCCCGCCTCCGCGAAATAAAACCGTGCGACGCAGCTGAGCGAGAGGAGAGACAAACGGCTGTGCAGCACGCAGATACAGAAAGCAAAGACTGAGCGGTTAGAGAGAGAGAGAGAGAGAGAAAAAAAAACAACGGTCGAGGCCGTGAAGAACCCTGATTTGGGTGCCGCATAGATAGAGGGAGAGGCGGACTTGACTCCTTCTAATAAGAGCTAGGAACTTGGAACCAACGCGGTGAGTAAAGAAAAAAGAAGAGAAAAAGCTAACGATGCAACTTAAAAAAAAGGAAACTTAAATAGCTTATCAAATTAATTCCATTCTTATAGATTTGTGTGGAGACGACAGAGTGAACCAATCCTCTGTAGGAGGGAACCGTTGGAGCGCGTTGGTGAGTGAATGAGATTAAATTCAGTAAATTATTAAATTCAAAAAGCTAATTACAGCAACCGAGGTGACAGCAGTGGGCTGCTAGACGTTAGATCCCAGGAGTTAACATCTCAAACTACCAGTTAACGGTGGTAGGGCATATAGGAGTTAACGGCTCAAACCGCCAGTTAACGGCGGTAGGGCCTAGATGTACAAGGTCCTCAGGGGCGTTATAGCTAACGCCATAGAATTAGCAATGCGTCCCTTAACCAAACATTTAATAATAAAAAAAATAGATAAATAAAAATAAATAAAAGCTAACTGATTAGGGAGGAATTATTTTACAAAGGTGGACCAAAGGACCAGAATTTATATTTTGTTGAATTTTGTTATAGAACATTTTATTTATTTATTTATTTATTTATTTATTTATTTATTTATTGTGTTACAGATATACAAGGTGTCACAATGCTGTATAGAAACACAACTAAATGTATCCTTGTTGTCATGAATGTATTTCTTGTTGAATAGTGTAGAGTAATAGAATCTAACTGAGCCTATTGAGCTGAACAATTGTTGTCATATGTAATTATATTTCCAGAGCTACTGAGAATTATTTTAATAGACAATCAAATTGATGTTATGTTAGTTGAACTGTGAACCCAAACATGATTGGCTATGCCAATAGAGTGAAGCATTTGTTTAAGTCTGTAAGACTTTATGCTGTGATGTGACGAGAAGGGTCGATGCCAACTCGCTAACAGTCCTGTTGTTTACAGGCTGGGTTTTTTTTTTTTTCCTTGGGTTTGATCCCGACTCCTATGATCACTCACTTGGAACGAGAACTGGATTTTTTTCCTACCGCACCGTTGAGATTGTTCAC